TAAATCGGGGGGGAAAAAATGCCGTGTCTTCGGGGGCCGCTAACTTTTTCAGATAATCCGATTAGCGCCGGGGGGGCTGCCGGGGATTTAGTCCAAAAGCCAACCTGGCTATCTGTTCTGTTGTGACTTTAGACTGCAGCAACACATGACCCGGGGTGTGTGTGTGTGTGTGTGTGTGTGTGTGTGTGTGTGTGTGTGTGTGTGTGTGTGTGTGTGTGTGTGTGTGTGTGTGTGTGTGTTACCTAGCTACTTCAGTGTTTTATTTATTAGTCACACTCCGTACAATTACATAAACGTTTGTTCAGCAGGATAATCTCCACATATTAACACCATTTAATAATTTCTGAAGTAAAAAGCTAAAAGGAACTACAGCACGGTCACATGACTTCACGTTCAACCACCGCTAAGCTAAAGGCGGCTAATGTGGGGTTAAAGGAACTTCAGCACGGTCACATGACTTCACGTCACCACCGCTAAGCTAAAGGTGGCTAATGTTGGGCTATAAAGGAACTACAGCACGGTTACATGAATTCACGTCACCACTGCTAAGCTAAAGGTGGCTAATGTTGGGCTATAAAGGAACTACAGCACGGTTTACATGACTTAACGTCACCACCGCTAAGCTAAAGGCGGCTAATGTTGGGCTATAAAGGAAACTTACAGCACGGTCACATGACTTCACGTCACCACCGCTAAGCTAAAGGTGGCTAAATGTTGGGCTATAAAGGAACTACAGCACGGTCACATGACTTCACGTCACCACCGCTAAGCTAAAGGTGGCCTAAGTTGGCTATAAAGGAACTACAGCACGGTCACATGACTTCACTTCACCACCGCTAAGCTAAAGGCGGCTAATGTTGGGCTATAAAGGAACTACAGCACGGTCACATGACTTCACCTCACCACCGCTAAGCGAAAGGCGGCTAATGTTGGGCTATAAAGGAACTACAGCACGGTCACATGACTTCACTTCACCACCGCTAAGCTAAAGGCGGCTAATGTTGGGCTATAAAGGAACTACAGCACGGTCACATGACTTCACGTCACCACCGCTAAGCTAAAGGAGGCTAATGTTGGGCTATAAAGGAACTACAGCACGGTTACATGACTTCACTTCACCACCGCTAAGCTAAAGGCAGCTAATGTTGGGCTTGATGACATTTAGTCATCTCATTTAGACACTTGTTAGCAACTTCCATTTTTAAATACACTCGTGGGGTATTTACTGACGTATTTTATGACGTAGATTGGAAATCTCTACAGCTTGTTTTAACCACAGACCTTATTTCAGGAATATCTAATTAACAAAAAGGCATGTGTTTGCCCAGTAGCTAATTTTAGCTTCTATCTTTCAACATGTGTCTGAAATGAAAACTTACTCCTCTGCAGAATATTAGTGTGTGTTGACAGGATCAGGACTACAGGACCCCCCCCCCCCCCCCCCCTCCCCCCTACTGTTAGGGGATACATGAGGAGGGGGAGAGTTTAACAACAAACACAATTACATCTCAAACTGAAGATTAACTTCACTACAGGATCAGTCCACAGAGAGCTGCTGTGACATTATACAGTTAAGAAGGCTAACATATTTAAACACCATGATATAATACTACATATTCTCTTTTTAGAAACCAAATAAGGGTATTTTCCTGGGTTTAAAGAGGCCCTATTATGCTTTTTGGGGTTTTCCCTTTTTGTTTGCCTCCATTGGACTCCTTTGTTTACTTCCTGAACATAGTGACATCACTAGTGACCACTCGCGCTCCTATTGGCTAGCGCTCCAACACATTGTTCTTGATAGGCTAAGGGGCGGGACATCTCTAAGAGGTTGACTGGGCTCTGGTTTCAGACAGAGGGTTAAAAAAATGGTATTAGTACTTTTATAATGAGAACACAGTAGCTCTTTATCTGCCTCACACACACACACACTCTTTAACTACTGCTCTCTCCATTAAGTCTGTAATCTGCAGCTGATAAAAGTAAATCAGCTCTGACACAACATCTACTCTCAGTAATCCCCCTCTGTTCTGTGAGCCATGAAATGAGTCTGAATACCTCTGATTTAAACCTTCTCTTATCATCATTTATTAACCTTTATTTCCATTAACATGAGGGGCTGATTTTTGGGGATAAGAGTAGAAAGTAATTGGACATTTACTTATTCCTCGCTGTAAAGATACTCTGTTACAAGTAAAAATCCTGCATTTAAACTAATATTTGAGTAAAAGTAAGTATAATGAGCGAAAGGTTTCAGAGTACCCAATGCAGATACATCTCAAATTAAAACACTAAAAATGATTTAAATAAATGAAATAAATAAATAAATCTCTTTAAAAATCTGTTCTTGTCCAAATTAAATACATAATTTCCCTCTTAAACGTTCCTTTACTTAAATAAATGCACTTAAATGACCCAATGCAGATTCTCCTGAAAAAAAATATTAAAAAAGCTAAATTAAGTTCGTTAGCAGATTAGTTGCCTAATCTAATTTTGTATAAAACTTAAATGATCAAATATTTGTAAATGTATGGAAAAGCAGTTGAGAAAATACTAAAATAAAAACCTAAAAGTACACAAAATTGCACTTTAGTAAATGTATTTAGTTCCACTGCCAACTTGTTCTCTACCAGCAGCCAAGTCTGAGACGTGTCTGAAAAAAATTTCTTGACTCTCTGCCGTCTGCACCCCTCCCTCACACACACACACACACACACACACACACACACACACACACACACACACACACACACACACACACACACACACACACACACACACACGCGCACGTGCACACACACGCACACACACAAACTGGATCTCTGGCCAACTCTCGTGGTTTTGTGGTTATCCGGGCAGCAGGGAGATGAAATTGATGCCGTGTGGACAAGAAGACTTTTCTCCTCCGTTCTGCTGACTGACATTCAGCTGCCAAACTCAACACAGTTTAACATTACATCGTGTGGACAGCAACTACTTTAAAGAGTGCTCTCCTGCTGATGTTCAGGTGTATATCAGTATGTAGTGTCTCTACTTTAAAGAGTGCTCTCCTGCTGATGTTCAGGTGTATATCAGTATGTAGTGTCTCTACTTTAAAGAGTCCTCTCCTGCTGATGTTCAGGTGTGTATCAGTATGTAGTGTCTCTACTTTAAAGAGTCCTCTCCTGCTGATGTTCAGGTGTATATCAGTATGTAGTGTCTCTACTTTAAAGAGTCCTCTCCTGTTGATGTTCAGGTGTATATCAGTATGTAGTGTCTCTACTTTAAAGAGTCCTCTCCTGCTGATGTTCAGGTGTATATCAGTATGTAGTGTCTCTACTTTAAAGAGTCCTCTCCTGCTGATGTTCAGGTGTATATCAGTATGTAGTGTCTCTACTTTAAAGAGTCCTCTCCTGCTGATGTTCAGGTGTATATCAGTATGTAGTGTCTCTACTTTAAAGAGTCCTCTCCTGCTGATGTTCAGGTGTATACCAGTATGTAGTGTCTCTACTTTAAAGAGTCCTCTCCTGCTGATGTTCAGGTGTATATCAGTATGTAGTGTCTCTACTTTAAAGAGTGCTCTCCTGCTGATGTTCAGGTGTATATCAGTATGTAGTGTCTCTACTTTAAAGAGTCCTCTCCTGCTGATATTCAGGTGTATATCAGTATGTAGTGTCTCTACTTTAAAGAGTCCTCTCCTGCTGATGTTCAGGTGTATATCAGTATGTAGTGTCTCTACTTTAAAGAGTCCTCTCCTGCTGATGTTCAGGTGTATATCAGTATGTAGTGTCTCTACTTTAAAGAGTCCTCTCCTGCTGATATTCAGGTGTATATCAGTATGTAGTGTCTCTACTTTAAAGAGTCCTCTCCTGCTGATGTTCAGGTGTATATCAGTATGTAGTGTCTCTACTTTAAAGAGTCCTCTCCTGCTGATGTTCAGGTGTATATCAGTATGTAGTGTCTCTACTTTAAAGAGTCCTCTCCTGCTGATGTTCAGGTGTATATCAGTATGTAGTGTCTCTACTTTAAAGAGTCCTCTCCTGCTGATGTTCAGGTGTATATCAGTATGTAGTGTCTCTACTTTAAAGAGTGCTCTCCTGCTGATGTTCAGGTGTATATCAGTATGTAGTGTCTCTACTTTAAAGAGTCCTCTCCTGCTGATGTTCAGGTGTATATCAGTATGTAGTGTCTCTACTTTAAAGAGTGCTCTCCTGCTGATGTTCAGGTGTATATCAGTATGTAGTGTCTCTACTTTAAAGAGTCCTCTCCTGTTGATGTTCAGGTGTATATCAGTATGTAGTGTCTCTACTTTAAAGAGTCCTCTCCTGCTGATGTTCAGGTGTATATCAGTATGTAGTGTCTCTACTTTAAAGAGTCCTCTCCTGCTGATGTTCAGGTGTATATCAGTATGTAGTGTCTCTACTTTAAAGAGTCCTCTCCTGCTGATGTTCAGGTGTATATCAGTATGTAGTGTCTCTACTTTAAAGAGTCCTCTCCTGCTGATGTTCAGGTGTATATCAGTATGTAGTGTATCTACTTTAAAGAGTCCTCTCCTGCTGATGTTCAGGTGTATATCAGTATGTAGTGTCTCTACTTTAAAGAGTCCTCTCCTGCTGATGTTCAGGTGTATATCAGTATGTAGTGTCTCTACTTTAAAGAGTCCTCTCCTGCTGATGTTCAGGTGTATATCAGTATGTAGTGTCTCTACTTTAAAGAGTCCTCTCCTGCTGATGTTCAGGTGTATATCAGTATGTAGTGTATCTACTTTAAAGAGTCCTCTCCTGCTGATGTTCAGGTGTATATCAGTATGTAGTGTCTCTACTTTAAAGAGTCCTCTCCTGCTGATGTTCAGGTGTATATCAGTATGTAGTGTCTCTACTTTAAAGAGTCCTCTCCTGCTGATGTTCAGGTGTATATTAGCACTCAATGTTCATCTGGGACCTGCAGGAAGTTGATTTCTCTGCATGTGTGTTTGAGTACATAGAAAAGCGTTTATATAAATGAAACATGTTGTTGTGTTACAGCGTGGGCGAAGGTGGAGGTTCAGGTGGAGGAGAGTGTGGAGGCGTACCTGGGCGACTCGGCTCAGATCACCTGCCTCTACAACTTCACTGACGTCGAATCAGAGCCTCGCCTCGTCATGATCCAGTGGTTCGTGGTGAGTCAGCAATAATAGCTCAATTAGAGCATTTTCGTTGTTTATATTTATATTTCTTTATAACAATCCATGAAGAAATGTAAAAATATAAAGATTTATTCTGAGTGAAGTTGACTAACAGGTGATAAGACAGCATTAGTAAAGGACGCAGTGAAGGAAACAAGGAGGCGTCCTCAGGTAAAGTGATGTTAAAGTGATCTCCCTGTGTTTCGTGCAGAGGGTGTCGGGCAGCAGCTCCAGGATCAGGATCTTCTACGGAGACGGCGATCAGCAAATTGTCGACAACAACACGGACTACAGCGGCCGCATCGAGGTGACTTCAGACGGACGGGAGTCAAAGCTCAGCATCCAGGACGTCCGGCTGCAGGACGAGCGCGAGTTCCTCTGCCAGATCAACGGGCTCTCAGCTGGGAACGCCGAGGGAAGGACGCACCTCCGAGTGTTCGGTGAGGAGGGAGACACCATACAGATTTTATAATTGTATACATAAATGCAGAACAAACATAAACAAAACCAGAGGCATCCGACTTAAAGGCAGCATGTAAACATTACAACATATATATCACAACTGAATGAAGTGTTCCTGGGTTTCATGAGGTTTTATTCACTTTAAAGCTCACCTGTTCTGCAAAATCCTCTTCTTCCTGTCTCTTCTACATCAACATGTGTCCCCTCTTCTTCATGTCTCTTCTACATCAACATGTGTCCCCTCTTCTTCATGTCTCTTCTACATCAACATGTGTCCCCTCTTCTTCATGTCTCTTCTACATCAACATGTGTCCCCTCTTCTTCCTGTCTCTTCTACATCAACATGTGTCCCCTCTTCTTCATGTCTCTTCTACATCAACATGTGTCCCCTCTTCTTCATGTCTCTTCTACATCAACATGTGTCCCCTCTTCTTCATGTCTCTTCTACATCAACATGTGTCCCCTCTTCTTCATGTCTCTTCTACATCAACATGTGTCCCCTCTTCTTCCTGTCTCTTCTACATCAACATGTGTCCCCTCTTCTTCATGTCTCTTCTACATCAACATGTGTCCCCTCTTCTTCATGTCTCTTCTACATCAACATGTGTCCCCTCTTCTTCATGTCTCTTCTACATCAACATGTGTCCCCTCTTCTTCATGTCTCTTCTACATCAACATGTGTCCCCTCTTCTTCATGTCTCTTCTACATCAACATGTGTCCCCTCTTCTTCATGTCTCTTCTACATCAACATGTGTTCCCTCTTCTTCATGTCTCTTCTACATCGACATGTGTCCCCTCTTCTTCATGTCTCTTCTACATCGACATGTGTCCCCTCTTCTTCATGTCTCTTCTACATCGACATGTGTCCCCTCTTCTTCATGTCTCTTCTACATCAACATGTGTCCCCTCTTCTTCATGTCTCTTCTACATCAACATGTGTCCCCTCTTCTTCATGTCTCTTCTACATCAACATGTGTCCCCTCTTCTTCATGTCTCTTCTTCATCGACATGTGTCCCCTCTTCTTCATGTCTCTTCTACATCGACATGTGTCCCCTCTTCTTCATGTCTCTTCTACATCGACATGTGTCCCCTCTTCTTCATGTCTCTTCTACATCGACATGTGTCCCCTCTTCTTCATGTCTCTTCTACATCGACATGTGTCCCCTCTTCTTCATGTCTCTTCTACATCGACATGTGTCCCCTCTTCTTCATGTCTCTTCTACATCGACATGTGTCCCCTCTTCTTCATGTCTCTTCTACATCGACATGTGTCCCCTCTTCTTCATGTCTCTTCTACATCGACATGTGTCCCCTCTTCTTCATGTCTCTCCTACATCAACATGTGTCCCCTCTTCTTCATGTCTCTTCTACATCAACATGTGTCCCCTCTTCTTCATGTCTCTTTACATCAACATGTGTCCCCTCTTCTTCATGTCTCTTCTACATCAACATGTGTCACCTCTTCTTCATGTCTCTTCTACATCAACATGTGTCCCCTCTTCTTCATGTCTCTTCTACATCAACATGTGTCCCCTCTTCTCCATGTCTCTTCTACATCGACATGTGTCCCCTCTTCTTCACGTCTCTTCTACATCAACATGTGTCCCCTCTTCTTCACGTCTCTTTACATCAACATGTGTCCCCTCTTCTTCATGTCTCTTCTACATCAACATGTTTCCCCTCTTCTTCATGTCTCTTCTACATCAACATGTGTCCCCTCTTCTTCATGTCTCTTCTTCATCAACATGTGTCCCCTCTTCCTCATGTCTCTTCTACATCAACATGTGTCCCCTCTTCTTCATGTCTCTTCTACATCGACATGTGTCCCCTCTTCTTCATGTCTCTTCTACATCAACATGTGTCCCCTCTTCTTCATGTCTCTTCTACATCAACATGTGTCACCTCTTCTTCATGTCTCTTCTACATCGACATGTGTCCCCTCTTCTTCATGTCTCTTCTACATCGACATGTGTCCCCTCTTCTTCATGTCTCTTCTACATCAACATGTGTCCCCTCTTCTTCATGTCTCTTCTACATCAACATGTGTCCCCTCTTCTTCATGTCTCTTCTTCATCAACATGTGTCCCCTCTTCTTCATGTCTCTTCTACATCAACATGTGTCCCCTCTTCTTCATGTCTCTTCTACATCAACATGTGTCCCCTCTTCTTCATGTCTCTTCTACATCAACATGTGTCCCCTCTTCTTCATGTCTCTTCTACATCAACATGTGTCCCCTCTTCTTCATGTCTCTTCTACATCAACATGTGTCCCTCTTCTCCATGTCTCTTTACATCAACATGTGTCCCCTCTTCTTCATGTCTCTTCTACATCAACATGTATCCCCTCTTCTTCATGTCTCTTCTACATCAACATGTGTCCCCTCTTCTCCATGTCTCTTCTACATCAACATGTGTCCCCTCTTCTCCATGTCTCTTCTACATCAACATGTGTCCCCTCTTCTTCATGTCTCTTCTACATCAACATGTGTCCCCTCTTCTTCATGTCTCTTCTACATCAACATGTGTCCCCTCTTCTCCATGTCTCTTCTACATCAACATGTGTCCCCTCTTCTCCACGTCTCTTCTACATCAACATGTGTCCCCTCTTCTTCATGTCTCTTCTACATCAACATGTGTCCCTCTTCTTCATGTCTCTTCTACATCAACATGTATCCCCTCTTCTTCATGTCTCTTCTACATCGACATGTGTCCCCTCTTCCTCATGTCTCTTCTACATCAACATGTGTCCCCTCTTCTTCACGTCTCTTCTACATCAACATGTGTCCCCTCTTCTTCACGTCTCTTCTACATCAACATGTGTCCCCTCTTCTTCACGTCTCTTCTACATCAACATGTGTCCCCTCTTCTTCACGTCTCTTCTACATCGACATGTGTCCCCTCTTCTTCACGTCTCTTCTACATCGACATGTGTCCCCTCTTCTCCATGTCTCTTCTACATCGACATGTGTCCCCTCTTCTTCATGTCTCTTCTACATCAACATGTGTCCCCTCTTCTTCATGTCTCTTCTTCATCAACATGTGTCCCCTCTTCTTCATGTCTCTTCTTCATCAACATGTGTCCCCTCTTCTTCATGTCTCTTCTACATCAACATGTGTCCCATCTTCTTCATGTCTCTTCTACATCAACATGTGTCCCCTCTTCTTCATGTCTCTTCTACATCAACATGTGTCCCCTCTTCTTCATGTCTCTTCTTCATCAACATGTGTCCCCTCTTCTTCATGTCTCTTCTACATCAACATGTGTCCCCTCTTCTTCATGTCTCTTCTACATCAACATGTGTCCCCTCTTCTTCATGTCTCTTCTACATCAGCATGTGTCCCCTCTTCTTCATGTCTCTTCTACATCAACATGTGTCCCCTCTTCTTCATGTCTCTTCTACATCAACATGTGTCCCCTCTTCTTCATGTCTCTTCTACATCAACATGTGTCCCCTCTTCTTCAGGTCTCTTCTACATCAACATGTGTCCCCTCTTCTTCACGTCTCTTCTACATCAACATGTGTCCCCTCTTCTTCACGTCTCTTCTACATCAACATGCGTCCCCTCTTCTTCATGTCTCTTCTACATCAACATGTGTCCCCTCTTCTCCATGTCTCTTCTACATCAACATGTGTCCCCTCTTCTTCATGTCTCTTCTACATCAACATGTGTCCCCTCTTCTTCATGTCTCTTCTTCATCAACATGTGTCCCCTCTTCTTCATGTCTCTTCTACATCAACATGTGTCCCCTCTTCTTCATGTCTCTTCTTCATCAACATGTGTCCCCTCTTCTTCATGTCTCTTCTACATCAACATGTGTCCCCTCTTCTTCATGTCTCTTCTACATCAACATGTGTCCCCTCTTCTCCATGTCTCTTCTACATCAACATGTGTCCCCTCTTCTTCATGTCTCTTCTACATCAACATGTGTCCCCTCTTCCTCATGTCTCTTCTACATCAACATGTGTCCCCTCTTCTTCATGTCTCTTCTTCATCAACATGTGTCCCCTCTTCTTCATGTCTCTTCTACATCAACATGTGTCCTCTCTTCTTCATGTCTCTTCTACATCAACATGTGTCGTCTCTTCTTCATGTCTCTTCTACATCAACATGTGTCGTCTCTTCTTCATGTCTCTTCTACATCAACATGTGTCCCCTCTTCTTCATGTCTCTTCTACATCAACATGTGTCCCCTCTTCTTCATGTCTCTTCTACATCAACATGTGTCCCCTCTTCTCCATGTCTCTTCTACATCAACATGTGTCCCCTCTTCTTCATGTCTCTTCTACATCAACATGTGTCCCCTCTTCCTCATGTCTCTTCTACATCAACATGTGTCCCCTCTTCTTCATGTCTCTTCTACATCAACATGTGTCCCCTCTTCTTCATGTCTCTTCTTCATCAACATGTGTCCCCTCTTCTTCATGTCTCTTCTACATCAACATGTGTCCCCTCTTCTTCATGTCTCTTCTACATCAACATGTGTCCCCTCTGTGGAAAGAGACTCTGAAAGTTTCAGGAACAAAGATTCTCTCTCTTTTTGATCCATTTCTATAAAAACCTGTCTGAAAATGAGCTGATCAGATTTTGGCCACTTTATGATGTCATAACGATGTGTTGTCTTGTGTAACCATTAGCCAATCAGCAACCAAGGTAAACCCCCCCCCCCCCCCCCCTTATCACCTGAATCTCCTCTAGAGCTCCATTGAGTTCTTTGTAACCAAATGTCTCTCAGAGGGAGGTGGGGAGGGGCTCCTTATTTTCATCTAAAGTAACAGACAGAGAATCAGCACTTTGGAAACAGGGCTGAAACAGAGGGGATTATGGGTAATGCAGCAATGATCTGTTTGGTGTTTCAGCCAATCAGAGACAGGCTCTGTATATATCTGAGACCTGTGATATATTGATGAAAAACTATAATAGGTGACTTCTAAATGAAAATAACGTTATTTATTTCCTGTTGCAGCGACTCCCGAGGCTCCGCTGATCGAAGGCGTCTCTTCAGGAATCTCTGTGACCAACGAGCTGCCGTCTAAGGTCCGTCTACTTTATATTAATGACAATAATCTTCAGGATTACAATGTTACATTACATCGCATATACTGTGTAAAATGCAAAATAACAACTAGTATATTTGCATATTTGTAACCCTCTCAAACTGTGAAATGTGGACTATACTCGGGCTGCGCAAAGTGCAACCGTGCAACACCAATGTATGGATTAGGACGGTACCGAACAGTACATCCAAAATACTACCTGGTTCATAAGACACCACTTATTTTTACATATGTTCTGTTGTTACAGATGATATTAGAATGTGCACAAATAGCTACTAAACCTTTGTTAGTCTAGATCAGGGGGGTCAAACTCAATTTCATGGCGGGCCACATCAGCATTAAGGTTGCACTCAAAGGGCCGGTTGTGACTTTAAGACGATATAAATATATATAAAATAATGCATTATATTACATCATTGCCTCTGCATTGGATTATTATCAGATAGGGTAATGAATTCATGATTAACTACGTCTGATAAGAAGTCTAGGGCAAATAATTGCAAGTCTCTTCAGTGCGCATGTCACTAAATGAGATGCATTGTGGGACATGTAGTTTATGGGCAACGTGCTTCTGGAAAGCGGCATGTAACCGTATAATAAACGTATTATATTCTTTGCAAGCTCTTGTGGGGCCACAGAAAATGAATTTGGACCTTGAGTTTGACCCCCCTGATCTACAGTGTGTAATAACGATATTAAATGTGTCTCTCCTGCAGGTCGCTTCGTGTGAAACTCGTAACGGTTTCCCCAAACCGAACATCACCTGGTACAGGAACGGCTCTCCGCTCAACTCGGAACCCGGACGTGAGTGACTGAGTACATTTACTCTTAATAATACTCTCCATTAGTACTTTACCTGCTGCACTACAATTGAAAGAGAAATATTGTACTTTCTACACAACTCGGCAGCTTATGGCAGCTTTAGTTACTTTTCAAAAACAAGAGGAAAAACGTATTGGCATCTTTAAAAATGTAAGTAATTAAAAAAATGTAAACAATGACTTTAATTGTTTCATTTGTTTTAATAGTTTTGACTTTATATATAGACATTTTAGATTTTTTATTACATTCATATTAAATTAGCCGCAATGATCTGTTTGGTGTTTCAGCCAATCAGAGACAGGCTCTGTATATATCTAGGAGGAGAGGACGCTGGCGCTTGTTTGTTCGCCGCTTCTCCTACGCCTCAGAGTTTTTATCTGCTTTTAAGCTATATGGCTAAACTTGAGTCTGTTTAACAAGTGCTTTTATATCTTAAACCTCGTGATTATTGACGGTTTTGGACCTGACGACTGTCGGGACTCACCTGCTGTATCGCCCAAATTCGCCGACTATCTCCGGCTGACTGCTTGCCTCTCTCCCGCTACTACTGTGATAGCAGGCGGACTCCCAATCCTCTGTTTCATTCCCAGACGCGAGGTATACTAACGGGATAGCCTTCCATCTGTCTCGTTGCTGTTAGCCCTCGCTGCTAAGCACCGCTACCAAACTTCTTCGGCACCCGACCTGTTGACATGTTGAGGTTTTCTATTCCCCAACTCCTGAGTTTCAACCACTCCAACGCTCCAACCTGCACCTCAGTCATTAAACAACTTGGACTTCTTCGTCGGCATCGCTATATCCACCGAAGCCAAAGAAGAAGACAAACTGTATATTCCCAGCACGGAGTTGCCGATATTCCATCCATCCACTCTGTCTGCCGTCGTGTCGCACATCTGACGTGTCATCAGAGCCCGTTCATGGCTGGGTCAAATCGCGCCAGAAACATCGCGAGACCGCTGCATGAATACACGGAGAGCATCGCGAGACAGCCACACACGAAGGAGTCTGGAAAACGTGGAGTGGATTACAGCCTACTCCGGCCCCTACAGAGATTCACCACATCTTCCAAAGCCAAAATAGAACTTCTGAATACACAAAAGTAATAAAGCATCCTTCATTCAAGACCACATCACCGATGAGAAAATGGACTTCATGTGCCTCACGGAAACCTGGCATCAGCCAGAGGTTTACTCCACCCTCAATGAAGCTTGCCCTCCTGGCTACAGCTACTTGGAGAAAGCCCGCAGCACTGGTCGTGGTGGAGGCCTAGCTGTCATCTACCGAAAGGAATTGGAACTGTCACTCCTGCCCCTGCTTGTATTGTCCTCTTTTGAATGCCTTGCATTTAAATGTAAACCCCCCTTCGCCCTGACAATACTTCTGATCTACCGGCCACCCAAACCCAACTCAGCTTTCATCCCAGAGATACAAGACCTTCTCACTACGCTATGCACAACCTCTGCCAATATTATCATACTTGGAGATTTTAATATTCACGTCGACTCCCCCTCCTGCCACTTTGCCACTGAGTTTCTGCTACTTCTGGACTGCCTCAATCTGACACAACATGTTGATGTCCCCACGCACGCCAAGGGCCACACGCTCGACCTGGTCATCACATACTCCGCCCCCATCAGCAATCTGCTAGTGTATGACTTGGGGGTGTCTGACCACAAGACCATCTCTATGGAGCTCTCTTTCCAATCCCCACTCAGCATGCCCAAACGCCAAATCCGCTTCAGGAACCTGAGGAACATCAACCCGGACACCATGACCCTGGACCTCCAGCATCTTTCCTCCGCCAACTTCTCATCAGTAAATGAGTCAGTTGCATATTACAACCAGTCCCTTAACAGTCTCCTTGATCTGCACGCCCCCCTCAAAACCAGGATGGTCACCTTCTCGCGCTCAGCCCCTTGGTACACCGGCAAACTGCGGAGAATGAAGACAGCTGGGCGTGTCCTTGAGCGGCGGCTCAAGGCCTCAGGACTCACTGTTCACCGGTTAGCCTATCGTGAACACCAGAAGGCCTACGCACAGTCCCTCAGAGATGCACGGTCCCAGTACTACTCCTCCATCATCAACAACAGTACTGGAAACTCCAAGCAACTCTTCTCCACCATAAACCACCTCCTCAAACCCCAAAGTCCTCTACACTCCGACTCCACTGAGAAGCAGTGTAGCAACTTTGCCGCCTTCTTTACTAACAAAGTTGATACTATCCGCTCCCTCCTCTCTAGCCCCTCTGCACCTCCAGTTCCAACTGCTGACCCACAGCCTGGGACAACCCAGCCTCTTCGCTGTTTCACGGACATCTCTCAGCAAGAGGTTGAGGGCATCGTTAGGAGGATGAAGCCCTCCACCTGTGTCCTGGACCCCCTTCCGTCAGCTCTTGTAAAATCTTACATCTGTACCATGAGCCCCATGATCACTAAGATCGTAAACCTCTCACTCCAGGCTGGCCATATCCCCTCTGCCCTAAAAACCGCTGTCATCAAACCTCGTCTCAAAAAACCTCGTCTCAAAAAACCCTCCCTTGACCCGGGAGTCCTGGCCAACTACAGACCCATTTCCAACCTTCCTTTTCTATCAAAGGTGCTGGAAAAACTAGTTGCTGCTCAGCTCCAGGACCACCTAAACTCCAACAACTTATTTGAGAAGTTCCAGTCTGGTTTCCGCTCAGGCCACAGCACAGAAACTGCCCTGGTCAGGGTCACCAATGACCTGCTGATGACGGCTGATGCGGGCTCTCCCTCTCTCCTCATCCTCCTTGATCTCACTGCAGCTTTCGACACCGTCGATCACGGCATCCTCCTCCATCGTCTGCACTCCACCATCGGACTCTCTGACTCTCCCCTTGACTGGTTTAGATCATACCTCACCGGGAGAACAGAGTACGTTTCCTTGGGCGAGGCAGAGTCGGGTACCCACAACGTCACCTGTGGTGTCCCTCAAGGATCAGTTCTCGGCCCCACCCTCTTCACACTCTACATGCTCCCCCTTGGCTCTATCATCAGCCGACATGGAGTATCATTCCATTGCTACGCTGATGACACCCAACTGTACCTCAGGATCAATCCTACCTCCTCTGCAGCCCTGCCTTCACCCACACTCACTGCCTGCCTGGAGGAGATACAGGCGTGGATGAAGCAAAACTTCCTGAAACTCAACAGCTCCAAGACCGAAGCCATTATAGTTGGCACCCCACACCAGGTTCGGTCATCCACCATCACCACCATCACCTTCTCCGGCCAGGACATTACCCTCTCCTCAATAGTCACCAACCTCGGTGTTAAAAGTGGACGCCCATCTGACCTTTGAGGCCCACATTAAACAGCTGTGCAAGAACTCCTTTTATCACCTCAGGAACATCGCCAAACTCCGCCCCACACTCACTCTGTCTGACGCCGATAAGCTGGTCCACGCCTTTGTCTCCTCCAGGCTGGACTACTGCAATGCACTCCTCATCGGGATCCCTAACAAAAGCATCCAGAAGCTACAATACATTCAGAACAGCGCTGCTAGGATCCTGATGAGGGTGCGCAAATATGATCACATCACCCCCATCCTTAAAGCACTACACTGGCTACCCGTGGAAATGAGGATCGAATTCAAGGTCTCCATCCTCACCCACCAGTGTGTCCATGGAACTGCCCCTCCCTACCTCAAGGAACTCCTCACCCCCCATAACTCCTTGCGGACCACCCGCTCCAGCAACTCCAACTTCCTCAGACCCCCCAGGACTAAGCTCCGTACTATGGGAGACCGGGCCTTCTGCTCGGCTGCTCCCAGTCTGTGGAATGCTCTCCCCGACCAAATGAGAGCACCACAGACCGTGGACGCTTTTAAAAAAGGCCTCAAAACCCATCTCTTCAAAACAGCCTTTGCCTAGACCTTTTTATCACCCTTTTATATATTTTTTATTTTTGTATTGCTTTTTATTAATTCTACCGTGTTGTGTAATGTTTCTTTATACTGTTCATGCTCACTACTTGTAGCACTTCGGGATTTGAAATCAAATATGAAGTGCTTTATAAATGGAACCCATTATTATTATTATTAGCCCTGAGTGAAAAAATGCTAACACACTTAACACAGAACTCACGTTAAAATACCCTTATTACTTATCGTATCTGCACAAACAGGATATCGATTAGCAAGCTGAGATTGCACAGATTCGACAGGTATTAGTATCATCACTGACCGATCAGAACTCGCGACATGAGAAGCTAACAAAGACATCACACCACGTAGCATTAGGTAGCCAACACGGCAATATGTCTTACCTTTGTTGTTGTCTGATGAAAAGTGGTCTTCAATGGCATTACAACGATAAAAATGCTGCTGAAGTTAATTCAAAGGTTAATCCATAGGTTAATTCAAAGGTTAATCCATAGGTTAATTCAAAGTGTCTGTGTCACTTTGAAATGATTTCTGATAATCCATCAGCAATAAATCTAGTTTTCAGATGTCAGAGCGTAAGATAGGTTTCGCTTTGGGCAAACTATGTCTGCATAGCTTTCATTCCTCAATGGTAACATGTGTGTGTAGGTGGAAATCCCCCTTCGATTCTATTGGCTCTAACGGTTAAAAAGAGATGTCAATCATCAAAATCGACCAATGGGTTCCAGAGAAACGGCAAATACACCCATTTCCACCCAAATGACCCCAGAAGTTGTTTTTTTGTGCTAAACCTCTCTAAAAAGGTCAAATGTCACTTGTTTTGCATCAATCTTGATACAGGGTACTTATTATATGTTATAGTTTGGATTCCTAAAGCTTTTAGTCTACCATCCCATCATCCAAGGGTGGTTTTCACTATAAGTAATTTTTTTGACGGACACTATAATTTACATTATTTTACTATGTTCAATCTGAATTTACTTTAAAATAAAAACATTATATTGATTCTGACTCTTCTACATCCAACTCACAGGTGTAACCTTGCTTTGAAAAAAAAGATTATTAATGTAACCCATTTAGAAGTGAAGTTATGGTCATTTGTTCTGGGAATGTCATTTTCGAGCCTGAGACCTGAAAAACAGGCTCAGGGCTGAACAGGTTCAACTACATTTTGTGGATTATACTTTTCCTTAAGTAACATTTCTAATGCAGTATTTTTACTGTTTTGTTATATACTACTACTGAAATAAAACGTCTGAATACATCATATCTATATTTTGATGTTGTAATAAATGTAATGTAATTCATTCTGAGAGTGAACTGCATTGCCTAAATCCACCAGTAGGGGTATTTACTGAGAACACAACGTTCAAATCGATTCATCTTGTGTTAACTACAGACATTATTTAAGGCTAACAACCAAAAATACATTCAGAAAACCCTACAGTCTGGGAAAGAGAGTTATGAAATACTGGCTAATTTTCACGGTTTAAACATAATTGATCCAACATAAATCAAATCAAAATGTATTATAGCCCCAAATCACAAGAAACGCCTCGAAGGGCTTTACAAAGCAAACAAAAGCATAACATGATACAACAACATAAGTATTGCCATGTGATGAAAGCATGAGACTGAAGTGATGGTAATGTTGATGGAAACTAGGTGATGGAAATTAGTTGACAAGGAAGACAGATGCGAAGAGATGGGTTTTGAGCGTTTCAGCGGAATAGCTTCTCGGATCTGAAATGGAAGAGTTTGAGATGGACCAATTGTGTGCAAACGACCCTGTGTGAAATGGGTGTACCTCCTATCTGTAATTGTAACTTATATCTTGATGTTGTTCCTCCAGATGTGAACGTGCTGATCCTGGTGACGCGGGACTCTTCTGGTTTCTTCTCGGTTCAGTCGACTCTGGAGTATAAAGTGTTGAAGGAGGATAAAGACTCTCAGTTCACGTGTGAGCTCAGCTTCTTCGTGCCCGGAGCCATCAGGACGGCTGAGTCCAGCAGCGTCAACGTCACCGTGCACTGTGAGAGTTTACACCTTTTACACCGTTTACAGAGGAATACATCAGGAATACATCAGGATGCAATCACAACAGCTTTTATAGTAGAGTTTAGGGAATGTAATCACTTCAAAACTCAATTTTTTAGACTGATTTATAACATGTTCAGTTTGTTTTAAGTTACAGCTGTCACTCAACAGTTAGATAGATAGATAGAGAGATAGATAGATAGAGAGATAGAGAGATGGATAGATAGATAGAGAGATAGAGAGATGGATAGATAGATAGAGAGATAGAGAGATGGATAGATAGAGAGATAGATAGATAGATGGATAGATAGAGAGATAGTAAATACATACTATACATACATTTACAATCAACAAATGAGAATAAAGAAACTGTATTTTATTTTAAAAAGGGACAATGCACATTCATTTACATGAGCCCCTTTTTGTCCACCATGCTCAAGTCCATGGTTTAATGTTGAAAATGCCCATTCTGTTCTGATTGGTTAGCTGGTTGGCTCTGTTGTGATTGGTCAACCAGTTTAGAGATGTCCCGCCCCTTAATCTATCCAGAACAGTGTGCTGGACGCTAGCCAATAGGAGCGCGAGTGTTCTGTGTGATGTCACTATGTTCCGGAACTTCACGCTTTTCTTTTGTCAAAGAATCGGAAATATGTAAATAATTGTATCTTCTACAACTCTTCGGATACTTACACGTTTTGTTTTTAGCAGGATAATCTCCACATGTTAACACCTATTTATGATTTATGAAGTAAACTGTGTGTGTGTGTGTGTGTGTGTGTGTGTGTGTGTGTGTGTGTGTGTGTGTGTGTGTGTGTGTGTGTGTTCCAGACCCCACCACGATGGTAGAGCTGTGGAAAGATTCTCCTCAGGGTCTGGTGAAGGAGGGGGAGACCGTGGAGCTGCGTTGCCAGGGCGACGGGAACCCCCCCCAGCCCTTCACTTTCTCCAGAGAACAAGTAAGAAAGGGAGGCGAACCCCCCCCCCCCCCAAAAAAAGAGAGAGAACGGGGGGAGACGCAGGAGACGTTTCGGGAATGTTTTTGATATTCAGAGCCCAGTGTGTGTGGATTTGACCCGGGGGCTCGTTCCCATGTCTCGCACACACACGCACACACACGCACACACACACACACATACACTGTGTGTGTGTGGGCCTAGACAGCTGACGTTGTACTTTTACTAACAAGGAATGAAGACAATTTATTTAGTCGCCGAACTGTTTAATTTGAGTCACTTTATGATGCATTTTCACTCCTTTTGTGTGTATGAGTTGCATGTTGTACTGTGTATGGTGAGTGTTATTTTATCTTAAAGGTCCCGTGTCATGGCCATTTCTACTGATCATGATTCCATTGTTGAGGTCGACTAGAATAGATTCACATTGTTCAATGTTCCAAACTCACATTGGTTTCTCACACAGCATCTCTGTATAGTCTGTGTATTCACTCCCTGTCCTACACGGCTTGTTGGAGCTCCTGCCCCCCCCCCCCCTGTGAGCCCAGTGGCCGTCTGCGAGACAGCGAAACCCAGCCCGAAACCAGCCTGAACACACACACACCCGCAGCCTGGCTGGGAGTTTGTGTGTGTGCTCACACACCGACTCACAGCCTCGCCGCGTCCCGCCGCCTCAGGGAGGACAAATCGGCTGAGCTGCAGCTGAGAAAAGATTGAGTGTGTGTGTGTGTGTGTGTGTGTGTGTGTGTGTGTGTGTGTGTGTGTGTGGTGTGTGTGTGTGTGTGTGTGTGTGTGTGTGTGTGTGTGTGTGTGTGTGTGTGTGTTGTGTGTGTGTGTGTGTGTGTGTGTGTGTGTGTGTGAGAGACCAATGGGTCCATTTGGGTATGGTCACTGTACCCAGGAAGAAAAAGAGAAATGTCCAACGAGGCGTTCTGGGGCAGCACAGACAGGTCTTCTCTGTGTCAGAGTTTTACTCGCTACAGGGTGCACTTTGAGGGTTTGTGACTCTGCAGACTGTTTACATGCAGAACAACCTTCATAACACACAAGGGGACGGGTGATAACCAGAAAAGCATGACATGGGACCTTTAAAAACACATTTTCATTATATGTGCAATTAATGGGCCATAAAGTATTCTGAATCTAAATGTAATTACAACCTCGTATTTTCAGTCATGTGAGGCCATTGGGACCTAAATACTTCTTCCCATTGACTTACATTTGGATCCGTATATTGTTTTTTTTTTATAGCCCTTATTTAAACCATTAGGTCCTAGAAGTTATAAAATGTAATTAAAGCCAGATCCAGATTTATGTTTCCTTGAAAATGAGTCAGCGTTTCAGCACTTTCTGTACCCTGTTCTGGAATGTAACGTGTTAGGTTAGAAGCCTATGATTTTTTCAAGTTGAAATGCAATTGCTGGAGATATAAAGCTAACTTAAACCTATAAAGGAACTACATCACGGTCACATGACTTCACGTCACCACTGCTAAGCTAAAGGTGACTAATGTTGGGCTATAAAGGAACTACAGCACGGTCACATGACTTCACGTCACCACCGCTAAGCTAAAGGAGGCTAATGTTGGGCTATAAAGGAACTACAGCACGGTCACATGACTTCACGTCACCACCGCTAAGCTAAAGGAGGCTAATGTTGGGCTATAAAGGAAGTACAGCACGGTCACATGACTTCACGTCACCACCGCTAAGCTAAAGGCGGCTAATGTTGGGCTATAAAGGAACTACAGCACGGTCACATGACTTCACGTCACCACCACTAAGCTAAAGGAGGCTAATGTTGGGCTATAAAGGAAGTACAGCACGGTCACATGACTTCACGTCACCACCGCTAAGCTAAAGGCGGCTAATGTTGGGCTACAAAGGAACTACAGCACGGTCACATGACTTCACATCACCACCGCTAAGCTAAAGGCGGCTAATGTTCGGCTATAAAGGAACTACAGCACGGTCACATGACTTCACGTCACCACCGCTAAGCTAAAGGAGGCTAATGTTGGGCTATAAAGGAACTACAGCACGGTCACATGACTTCACGTCACCACCGCTAAGCTAAAGGAGGCTAATGTTGGGCTATAAAGGAACTACAGCACGGTCACATGACTTCACGTCACCACCGCTAAGCTAAAGGTGGCTAATGTTGGGCGTGATGACGTTTAGTCGTCTCATTAAGACACTTGTTAGCAACCCCCTTTTTTACATCAAGATTATAATTTGTCCGTTTTTGTTTACAGGAGCTGGACGTGGACCTGGAGAGTAGCCATGGAGATGTGTTGACGTTGTCTCCGGTGTCTCGTAAAGACAGCGGCATCTATCAGTGTCGTCCTCTGGACAGCGAGGGAAACAGCGACGTGAAAGGAGAGATGCAGCTCACCGTGCACTGTGAGGAACCATCACACACACACACACCTTTGTTTTTATGTATTTAAGAAGCGACAACGCACATTAATCAACATCAGACAACAGGTTGAGCCACAGAGGCTTATTTTTACCTGCAGTCCCTGGCAGAAATGTCATTAGAACATGCTCTTCTGATACAACATGTTAACTACAGAGATGGATGGTGCATTCAGGTGCTCCTCAGATGTTCTGTTTTCTGGGTTGGGAAATCAGAGGCCGTTTCTCAATCTCGAGGATGCTGGCTTGGTAGTCGCATACTTCCAAGTCACTTCCTTCAGAAACGAAGTAAGTATGCTTCAACATAAACTGTACCGAAAATAAATACCTCACGATGTCTATCTAATTATGAACTTGCTTTACTTTCACGGAACACATTTTTGGTAAGTAAGTAACATATTTACCAACACATGTTCTATGCCACTACATACATTTAAATGTGTGCTGCGTCGGTTCAGCCATTCTCCGCAAGGGTTTTTGAAATTGGTCCGTGCGCAAAGCATTGTGTGGATTTTAAGGACGCAAAGTCTACCCACGTGCAGCCTCGACATTTCCTCCAAACCAAGGACGCGGCCTCTGTGGAATTCCAAGTATGCTGGACATTGGAACAGTCCTTCGGCGGCACTCAATGACGTAGCATCCTTGAAATATTGGCTTGGAAGCCAGTATCCTCGAGATTGAGAAACGGCCAGAGTGTGCAACTAACATGGACGCTTTCATTTAAAATGACTGATACAGAATTTGAACATCTCACTTTACAGACCATTAGATTCTGGGGTTAACATTTGGTATTGAAGGAAAGAAAGTATTTTATTGCTCAAAGCGTAAAAAAACTTTACATTTCGAGGGGCGTTCACGTGAAATTCAGTCAGGAACCTATTTTACAGATTATTCCGATACTACCCTTTGCCTCCAGTCTTTATGCTAAGCTAACATCCCAGGTCCGTACTAGAAGCTGGACAATTGTACTTGCTGTTAGAGTGATGAACAAATTATGATTGATTGATATGGCTGAGACCAAGTGGATGTTTCAGATACAAAAGAAACTCTGCATTAGTAGGAAGCATCCAAATAAAAACTACTCTGGAAGACTTGAGGAAAGGAATCCTGGGTGGAGGACTCGTTCTTAATTTGTAAACTTGATATAACTCAGAAGAACTGCTCCTTTAATCTTGTCTCGTGTCTTTGTCCTCAGACTTGGACCCAGCAGTTGTTGTTCCTAAAGAATCCGAGGTGATGCTGAGAGGAGAAGAACTGACTGCGACCTGCAACGCTCTGTCCTCCCTGAAGACCTCCACCGTCTGGTACAAGGTAAACACACAACACTAGCATTTCCACCATTAACGTGCATAGACTCGCTGTGAAAGCTAAGAAGCAACAGCACGAACACATCCTTAACGTGTTCGACTTTAGGACATACAACTGGGAACGTTTGTGCAAAAGATCCATTGGACAATTGTTGAGGTATCAAATCAAATCAAATTTTATTTGTAGAGCACATTTAAAAACGATCTTGGTCGAGTCAAAGTGCTGTACATGTAATTTAAACACATACAAACACATTACATCACAATAAAAAACAATAAATCACAACAGATAAAGCAACACATGGAACAGTCAGGAGTCGTGACCCCACTCTAACTAGAAGGCCAGAGAGAAGTAGTGTGTCTTCAGTGTGGATTTAAAAACCCCTAGGGTCTGGGCCGACCTCACATGGAGGGGCAGAGTGTTCCAGAGCCTGGGGCCAGCTGCTGCGAAGGCTTGGTGCCCTCGGGTTTTGAGCCTGGTCTTAGGCACTACCAGCAGCAGCTGATCAGCAGATCTTAAGGCTCTGCCTGGGGTGTAGCGCTGGAGGAGTTCAGCTATATAGGCCGGAGCCAGCCCATTTAGTGCTTTAAAAACAAATAAAAGGATTTTAAAATCAATTCTGAACCGGACTGCAAGCCAGTGCAGTCAGGCCAGAATTGGGGTGATGTGGTCCCGCTTTTTGTGGCCAGTCAGGAGACGTGCAGCTGCGTTTTGGACTAGCTGCAGGCGTTTAATTGATGCCTGGTCCATACCCACATACAGAGCGTTACAATAGTCCAGTCTTGAGGTCACAAAGGCGTTAATAACCCTTTCCAGGTCTTTAAAAGATAAATACGACTTGGTTTTGGCCAATAGTCTTATTTAAAAAAAGCAGGATTTTACTACGGTGCTGACCTGCTTGTCGAATTTAAAAGTGCTATTGAAGGTCACTCCAAGGTTCATGACAGAGGGGAGGATGTTTTTACTTAGGGAGCCCAGAATATCAACCGGAGAGGCTGGAGGTTGGGGTCCAAAAAAGATTACCTCGGTCTTGCTCTCATTGAGGGTGAGGAAGTTTTTGCTCAGCCAGGATTTGATCTCTGTTAAGCAGTCCATCAACTGCTGTAGTGAGTTGACATTTGCTTTGAGAGGCAGATAAATCTGTACATTGTCCGCGTAGCAGTGGAAGGGAATATTGTGTTTCGTAAGAATTGAACCTAGGGGCAGTATGCAGGGGTGGTTCTAGGGGGGGCCAGGGGGGGGGGCCAGTGCCCCCTAACACTGACCTCTGACCCCCCTGTGGCCCCCCTAACAATGAAAAGTTTTTGTTTTTTAAAATGTATATTTTCTGGTACTCGGTTTGCCAAAAACCGCAGGATTTTGTTGCTGTAATGTGAGATTGTGCAGACACCCTTATGTAAAGTAGAGATGTAACTGTTCATTGCCTTTATTTTTATATAAATATGGTGTTAGTGCAAACATTGCACTATAACTTAAGCTGAAGCTAACAGTAATAACTATAAGATCTATCTGAAATAAATAAGTGTACTGAAACAAATACCAATAACTGTATTGCATTGTTTTCTTATGCGCAATTACTTCATACTGTCTAGTTCTCTTTTTCGTCCCGCATTTATTGTGCCCCCCTCAGAAAATAACTGGCCCCCCAGTGGCCCCCCCAGTCAAATTAGTCTAGAACCGCCACTGGCAGTATGTACAGTAAAAAGAGGATGGGGCCCAGAATTGAGCCTTGGGGGACCCCACAGGTAAGAGGGGCTTTGGCAGAGGAGAAGGCACCTAGCTGCACTAAAAAGCTACGGTCTGTCAGGTATCAAAGGTCTTCAGTCATTTTGCAGGATGTGAACACAGACCGATGTTCCCATATTTTACTCAATAATACTCCAGAACCAGACAAAATGTGGAGTTAGTAAATCCACAATTTAGAAACACAATTGCCCAATGGATTTAAAACAGAGACATTGGCACAACATCCTTTCTTATGTCCTCCAATAGATAACCAAATAGATAGACCAACCAACATGGAAACCAAAGAAACAATGTTGATTTTTACTTAACTGTACACTGACCTTATTTTCTGTCATTACTCTCCTAGCCTGATTTAAGTGTTTTGTTTACTGTGTGTGTGTGTGTGTGTGTGTGTGTGTGTGTGTGTGTGTGTGTGTGTGTGTGTGTGTGTGTGTGTGTGTGTGTGTGTGTGTGTGTGTGTGTGTGTGTGTGTGTGTGTGTGTGTGTGTGTGTGTGTGTGTGTGTGTGTGTGTGTGTGTGTAGGATGGGAAGCATGTGGGTACCGGGAACACTCTGCACCTGAAGGACGCCACCTATCAGACGACAGGAGAATATATCTGCGAGGTCACGGTGCCTTCACTGCCCGCTCTGCACACCAGCGGCTCCGTAAACATCATCGTCCAAGGTCAGACACGCTTTAATGTTCAAAAAGATCTTTATTGTTCTCACACTCTCTTTTCACCCTCTGTCGGAAACCAAGTACATTTACTTGAAACTAAAGGAACGTTTAAGAGGGAAATTATGTATTTAATTTGGACAACAGCTTTTTTTAAAGATATTTTCTATTTCATTTATTGTCTATTAGTGTTTTTATTTTCAATGTATCTGCATTGGTTACTATGAAACCTTTAACTAGATTTAGCTATTTATACCTACTTTTACTCAAATATTAGTTTCAATGCAGGATTTTAACAGAGTATTTTTACAGCGAGGAATAAGTAAATGTCCAAGATTTTTTCCATTACTTTCTTATCCCCAAAAATCAGACCCAGAAACCAGAGCCCAGTCTGCTCTGATTGGTTAGCTGGCCGGCTCTGTTGTGATTGGTCAACAGCTTAGAGATGTCCCGCCCCCTTAGCCTATCACGTACAATGTGTTGCAGTGCTAGCCAATGTGTTCCATATTGATGTCACTATGATTTAGCCTTTGCAGACTAAAGGGAAGAGAGAAGAATAGGGACCCTTTAACTTTGTCTCTGAAAATGAATTGTTTCCATCAGATCAGAGAGACATTTCTCCACGATGTATTCATGTTGGAACGATGTCCACCCTCAAATTAAATCCAGAGTTGAATCTCAGATCAGATGTTAAAGAGTCTTGAACCTTTAAATCATGTTGTTACGTTCCCTCCTGGACTAGGGGAACCAAAGGGAAGTAACAACATATAAAATAACCAGGCGAGAGGAAACCGATTGTGAAGCCACAAGATGGTCAAAGAAAAACAGACTCACCAGCCAATTTGTAAACTTACGACAAAACAACTTTCTCATGACAGAAAGCGACCGCAGTAAATCAGAACAATACTTCTATGAGTTGCAACAACAAAAAAACACTGCTGCACTGCCATCCATGCAGCTCACAGGAGAAGGAAGAGAGAGGCTGCAGCCTTCCTCAGGTCCTTTATGGAGGCCCTGATTGTGGATTGGGAGCACCTGAGGGAGAGGCTGCACCTGGAGGGAGACAATCGGGGGGGGGGGGGCGAAGGACACACACACACTGAGGGTGTTTCTCAATCTCGAGCACGCTTGCTTGGTAGCACATGTCTTCCGAGCGTCTTGCTTCAGAAGCGAGGCAAGAATCCTTCCTGGCACTCGGAAAACGAAGATTGGAACAGGCGAGCAAGTGTGCAGGTGTGCTTCATATGAGAGGCCCCGCCTTACATTTTCCACCACAGATTTGGGGAAATTGGTCCGTGCGCAAAGCATTGTGGGGATTTTAAGACTGCGGAGTCTACACATGTGCAGCCTCGACATGTCTCCAAACGAAGTACGCCGGGCTCGGTAGAATTCCAAGTGTGCTGGACATTGGAACAGTCCTTCAGCGGCACTCGATGACGTAGTATGCTTGAAATAGTGGCTCTGGAGCAGCTTTACTCGCCATTGAGAAACACCCACACACACAAGCACCCACTACGGCACGTAACACATATTCAAAGTCTAGTTCCTGGCCTCTTGTCTTTCATATCTGTGTTTACTGATGTTGTAAATGGAGCTGCTGTGAAGCCACAAACATTTGAAACTCAATCTGACCCTAAAGTGTCTTCGTACCGTAAATGGATTTCTGCAGTTGGGTTTTTGGCAGCGTTTTATATTCCGGGCCATTTCTGGGATATTAATGTCCTTTGTACGTCAATCTCTAGAGCTTAGAATAAAGTGCTGCCTCAGAGTTAAGACCTTCACCACAGATATTCAAACCACTGTTGGGCTTTTAATGTGAAACATCTGTGCAGGAAGAGTCAGGTTCAATATGACGGTTAGATTAAATGACAATGGAATGTAAATGGTAGAAATATAAATCTGTATTTCGGTTTTGTTTACGCTACCGGCCTCATTAACAAAACCCCCCCCAAGAAACATCATTATTTCATGTTCATCTCTCTCACTTTTCTATATATATCCCTAAAATCTCCGTACCTGTCAATACACCTGGTTCTGATTCTACTTATGCAGGTGGTCCTCAGCTGGTGGGCTCTGATCAGGACGTCCAGCTGGAGGAAGCTGCAGGCCGGACGGTGAATCTGAGCTGTGAGGCCAGGGGTCGACCGCTGCCCAGTCTCTCCTGGAGCCTCAGCAGCAGCCAGGTACACACAGACATATTCAATATAACCCAGAGGATTGTACTTCTCAGATGTGGATGAATGATGTGAAATCTAATCAAGTGTTGAATCAGACTTTAGTTCCACCTGGAGTAAATCCACCAGCTACCCTGCAGTATACAAAGTCATTCAAACTAGCTGCACCTTTACCAGCTTTGAGAACACTTTCATGATCAATCATTATAAAACATATCATATATATTATTCTGAAATGGACCAATCTGCACAACGACTACTTTTACTGTCGCTACTTTCACTATATTTTGATGAGAATACTTTTCTACTTTCACTTGAGGAAGATTTTGAATGCAGGACTTTTACTGTATTCCTACACTCTGGTACTTCTACTTTTACTCAAGTACAAGATCTGAGTACTTCTACTTTTACTCAAGTACAAGATCTGAGTACTTCTACTTTTACTCAAGTACAAGATCTGAGTACTTCTACTTTTACTCAAGTACAAGATCTGAGTACTTCTACTTTTACTCAAGTACAAGATCTGAGTACTTCTACTTTTACTCAAGTACAAGATCTGAGTACTTCTACTTTTACTCAAGTACATGATCTGAGTACTTCTACTTTGACTCAAGTACTAGATCTGAGTACTTCTACTTTGACTCAAGTACTAGATCTGAGTACTTCTACTTTTACTCAAGTACAAGATCTGAGTACTTCTACTTTTACTCAAGTACAAGATCTGAGTACTTCTACTTTTACTCAAGTACAACATCTGAGTACTTCTACTTTTACTCAAGATCTGAGTACTTCTATTTTTACTCAAGTACAAGATCTGAGTACTTCTACTTTTACTCAAGTACAAGATCTGAGTACTTCTACTTTTACTCAAGTACAAGATCTGAGTACTTCTACTTTTACTCAAGTACAAGACCTGAGTACTTCTACTTTTACTCAAGTACAAAATCTGAGTACTTCTACCACCTCTGAATATAGACTCATGATCTTTTTCTAGGACTGTCTGTGTTGTAGATGTCTTATCTTTTAAATGTCTGTACTCACTCACTCGTGTGTGTGTGTGTGTGTGTGTGTGTGTGTGTGTGTGTGTGTGTGTGTGTGTGTGTGTGTGTGTGTGTGTGTGTGTGTGTGTGTGTGTGTGTATCTCAGAGCTATCAGGAGGTAGTGAGCAGGTCTAATGATCACGAGGCTCTCAGCGTGGTTTCGGTCTTAGTGACGGCCGACTTCAGTGCCGTGTGCAACGCCTCCAACGACCTGGGGACGGAGAGCAAGACGTTCAGCATCAGAGCCAGTAAGACAACATCTACTCTGTAATATCTGTGAAGACAAGTACTGTACTGTGTACTGACAGACCGTGGAGGCTTTTAAAAAAGGCCTCAAAACCCATCTTTTCAAAAGAGCCTTTACCCTTTTTATCACCCTTTTATTTTTATTTTATTTTATTTTACTGCTTTTTATTAATTCTACCGTGTTGTGTAATGTTTATTTATACTGTTCATGCTCACCACTTGTAGCACTTCGGGATTTGGAGTCAAATATGAGTTGCTTTATAAATGGAACCCATTAGTATTATTACTGTACTGTGTGCCACATCGAGGTACTTGTACTTTACTCACGCACTATCTTTTTATTCAACTTTGTACTTCACTATCATTCAACGGTCAATATTGTATTTTGTACTTCAATAGATACACCAACACCCTTAATAGATTGAAAGAACATTGACTATTATCTATTTCTTAAGTATAATTTTTAGTTTTTCTAATATTTATTTTGAAATAAATTATGTTTTATGTATTTTTGGTAACACTTTATATTAAGGTACACAAATTAACCATCAACTAGTTGTTAATTAACATGCATATTAGCAGTATAATGGCTCTTTATTAGTCATTATAAAACACTTATTAATGCCTTATTCTACATGACCATATTCTACAAGTAATAAGCCATTAGTTGAGAGTTTTTCCTCAATAACCCTCTAATTAGTGCTTATTTGTTGCAAGTAAGGAACTTATTGTACATGAGTTTTGGTCTTAATATGCGCTGCCCAATATGGGCCTAATAAGGCAGTAGTACCACAAGAATAGTAATTCTCCCATAATAACACTTAACAAATATAATCTATTCTTATGGAACAAGACATGAAACTACAAGTGTTAATTAAGTCTAAACAACTCAAAATTAGCTATTTATATCTAAGAACACGTTCCCTATTCTAAAGTGAAGTCTTGTTCATAACCATTAAGCTAGTAGTTTGACTCTAATTAGGTATTTCTATCTAAAATATGTTCCCTATTCTAAAGTGAAGTCTTGTTCATAACCAATAAGCTAGTAGTTTGACTCTAATTAGGTATTTCTATCTAAAATATGTTCCCTATTCTAAAGTGAAGTCTTGTTCATAACCAATAAGCTAGTAGTTTGACTCTAATTAGGTATTTCTATCTAAAATATGTTCCCTATTCTAAAGTGAAGTCTTGTTCATAACCAATAAGCTAGTAGTTTGACTCTAATTAGGTATTTCTATCTAAAATATGTTCCCTATTCTAAAGTGAAGTCTTGTTCATAACCATTAAGCTAGTAGTTTGACTCTAATTAGGTATTTCTATCTAAAATATGTTCCCTATTCTAAAGTGAAGTCTTGTTCATAACTAATAAGCTAGTAGTTTGACTCTAATTAGGTATTTCTATCTAAAATATGTTCCCTATTTTAAAGTGAAGTCTTGTTCATAACCAATAAGCTAGTAGTTTGACTCTAATTAGGTATTTCTATCTAAAATATGTTCCCTATTCTAAAGTGAAGTCTTGTTCATAACCATTAAGCTAGTAGTTTGACTCTAATTAGGTATTTCTATCTAAAATATGTTCCCTATTCTAAAGTGAAGTCTTGTTCATAACCAATAAGCTATTAGTTTGACTCTAATTGACCTGAACAGGTTCCCTATTCTAAAGTTGCCTCCTCTTCACACTTTGTAAATACATTATAGCACACAACTACTGAAATTAACCTCAACAGTACATGAACAAAGTAGGCACACGTTGAAATATCTGTTTTATTAATGAACCACTAAAGAGAGGTTCAGACACATACATGTACCAAAACATGTCAAGTTTCTCCAAGGCTGAGAACACACATGCAGCCTGTACTTTTTAATAAAAACTGATTTTTAACAGAGTTTATGTATTTGTGATCATACTGTGTGACCTGCTTGTATGTTCTCACACAATAGGTGTACTGTTCTCTCTCTGTGTTGTCTCAGTGTGAACATAGATTAAACAGCCAGCCAAACTCTTTTGAGAGCCAGGGAATGAGCAGCCATGCTCCTTTATTGACTTATTTGCAGTCCCGTGACATTCAAACGGAGTGAAACTATAAAAAAAGAAGTTACAAGGCACTTAATGATCTCATACATGCAAGTGTAACATACACAGATGAACACATTAGGACCGCTTAGTGTAAACAAGGTAAACATAGCTAATGCTAGCTGTACAATAAGCATGTATACAGGCTAGTATGGCTAACGCTAGCATGTATGCTAACGCTACCGTGTATGCTAGCGCGAATGCTAACGCATTTTCTCATTGAGTTTAAACATCTCCACATGTCATCACATAAACACAATACATGTTACTAATCCTTACAGTGTAAGTGTAAGGCTCACACTTACACTTACAGTCATTGCTTTCTGACGGACTTGACCCTTGTACTCTTCAGGTTGCAAAGGGAAAATGAGTGGCAGTGTACTCATGGATGTCTACTGCCATTATATTCCGTTCACGTTCTCCTACTTCCTGTACCCGGGTCTAACCTTCAGTACACATTTTACAAAAATATAAATGTGCAAATATGAAACATACAGGTCAATATCACCTTGCTATTGGTAGCTGAACTGTCAATACCCCAAAACATATTATAAGATATAAATACCTAATTTTGAGTTATTTAGACACAATTAACACTTATAGTTTCATGTCTTGTTCCATAAGAATAGATTATATTTGTTAAGTGTTATTATGGGAGAATTACTATTCTTGTGCTACTACTGCCTTATTACGCCCATATTAAGCAGCGCATATTAAGACCAAAACTCAGGGACAACAACTTCCTTACTTGCTATAAATAAGCACTAATTAGAGGGTTATTGAGGAAAAACTCTCAACTAATGGCTTATTACTTGTAGAATATGGTCATGTAGAATATGGCATTAATAAGTGTTGTATAATGACTAATAGAGAGCCATTATACTGCTAATATGCATGCTAATTAACAACTAGTTGATGGTTAATTTGTGTACCTTAATATAAAGTGTTACCGTATTTTTTTACTATTTTGACTGTTTTTACAAACCGAGAAAATACAAATGAAATAATATAATATCCTTTTCCACATTAGGAACTTCTGCATTTAACATTGGACCTCCATTTTGCTGATGATACTGCTTGGTCTGAATGCACTGACCACACTTTAACATTGGGGGTTTAAAAATGTCATTTCTAATCTAACACAATGCACACACATGAAATGCACACGTTAGACTTTTAAGAATATTTACATTTGCGATTCCCAAAGCTGCTGCGTTAAAATGAAATTAGAAGTGTGTGTGTGTGTGTAAGTGTGTGTGTATAAGTGTGTGTAAAGTCTTAATGGTTGTTCTTCTCTTCAGTTCCCAGACTGACCTCAGCGACTCCCTTCTCTCCAGGTAAGATAGTCTCTCTGCTCCTATTTATCCTTTCAATCTTTAAAAACAAATGTTATTTATATTATTATTATTTATTGATATAGTCAGTATCAGGTTACACGAGCCAGATGAGCTGCATGGAGAGTTTATTAAGTCTAATGAACTCTAACTCAGTGACAAAAACTACAATATTTAAAATAGTGCAGAGACGTGTGTGTGTGTGTGTTCCCTGTATGTGAGTGTTTTTATTTGTGTATAAAATAGTGTGTTATGTACCAGCATGCACCTGGTCTTTAGTATGTGTGTGTCAGTTGTACGTATGTTACATGTGTATCTGTCAAAGTATGTTGCATGCATAGTGTGTGTGTGTGTGTGTGTGTGTGTTCCTCTCTCTTTGTTCTTCATCAGTGGTCTACTTCAGACTCAGTGACGTGTGTGTGTGTGTGTGTGTGTGTGTGTGTGTCTCCTCCTCGCTGCAGATCTTCAGCCTGAGGGCGTTTTAAATATTCTGTTTGATAAAAAGATAAAAATCACAACAGCAGATTTCTTAATGATCCCAAAAATATGATTTATAAATGCAGCGATGAAATGTAACTTCAGTACTTCTTTGAGGTGCTTTTTACTTCGTTTATCTTACAGCTTTAGTCACTAATCCCTTAGTACTTGAACTCTGCCTCAATTTAAAGTTTATTTCTTTATTTTGAACTTTTTGTTTAATGCTACTCTTTTCTTTTATCCACTACATTTATTTCAAGGCTTTAGTTTTGGGATATTTTGCTGAATTAAATTATGAATACAAAATGTAATGAACTAATAAATGATAGACTTTACCAACACTTGAAAACTTGTGATTTAATATTTGTGGATCTTAAATACTACAATACTACGTTTACTTTAGTATAAATGTATTTATACTGAGTGAGAACAATAAATGAGTCACTCTTAATGATTTCTTTCCAGACAGTCGTTTGGTTTTATTGTGTTTTTTAAATACCAGAGGGAATATTTATATTTATTATGGGGCAATTTTGTGTCTTCTAATGATCTCAGCCGTGACTCGATGTCATTAAAAAGCTTCACTCGTCTGTTGGGAGTAAAACTGCAATTAAAGAACATTTCAGATTCCAGTTAAAAACAACAGGGTCAGAAACACAGCTATTGTTAACTGGGGTTATTCTGGGATGGATTTAAACTCACACTGAGAGGGGGAGGAAGTATTCAGATGTACTTACAACACTACGAAACTACTCTGTTACAAAGTCCTGCATTCAAAAAGTAAAAAAACAATATAATCAGCAATGCAGAAAACTCTCAAATAAAAAACATTCAAACAATATTCAAAATAAACAAAACTTTATTGATCTGTAATGAACTTATTTTGTGGTTACACATTACGTTACTGCTTTTGAAGTAGCAGACACATAGTATTGCAAATATACTGATACTATTCAGGGTTTTATTATGTATTTATTGACACTGTTTTACTGTCTTTTGTTTTGGTAGTATTTCACTAATTACATTTCCTAATGTTTGTCAATCAATAGCCACCGCGCACTAAGTACCAATCGCGTTCACACCGGAGTACTTTTCCCTGAGGGAAGATTACGCAAATGAGCCGCTGACGTCACTTCTTCTTCTTCTGCTTTGGGTTTACTGGCAGGCTGCAAACAACTTCACGGCGTATACTGCCGCCCGGAGTCCCCGGCCGGAAGAGTTTTACGGGGCGTGGTTTGCAATTCGCGCAGCCAATCAAAACTGGGGCACTTTTTCCCCCCAGGAGAGTACCACCTCTCAGCAGGCACTAAAAATGGGGGTAAAAGTTCCCGGCACTAAGTTCTCTTCTTGGTGTGAACGCAACATAAGGGTACTAACGGAACTAAAGGGGGAAAGTACAGGGAAAAGTACTCCGGTGTGAACGCAACATAGGGGTACTAACGGAACTAAAGGGGGAAAGTACAGGGAAAAGTACTCCGGTGTGAACGCGGCTATTGAAGTGCATTTAAGTTGTTCATGATGCTGTATGAATAAAGTTTGATTGATTAACGTGTGTGTGTGTGTGTGTGTGTGTGTGTGTGTGTGTGTGTGTGTGTGTGTAGCAGAGGGCAGTGGGATCATCATCGTGGTCATCATCCTCTCTCTGCTGCTGCTCGCCATCCTCGGCAGCGTTCTCTACTTCCTGCACAAGAAGGGGAAGATTCCCTGCGGACGCTCCGGGAAACAGGAGATGTGAGTACTCAGAATACTACAAATACATCAGTGTCTAAATGAGACGACTAAACGTCATCACGGCCAACATTAGCCTCCTTTAGCTTAGCGGTGGTGACGTGAAGTCATGTGACCGTGCTGTAGTTCCTTCATAGCCCAACATTAGCCTCCTTTAGCTTAGCGGTGGAGACGTGAAGTCATGTGACCGTGCTGTAGTTCCTTCATAGCCCAACATTAGCCTCCTTTAGCTTAGTGGTGGTGACGTGAAGTCATGTGACCGTGCTCTAGTTCCTTTATAGCCCAACATTAGCCTCCTTTAGCTTAGCGGTGGTGACGTGAAGTCATGTGACCGTGCTGTAGTTCCTTTATAGCCCAACATTAGCCTCCTTTAGCTTAGCGGTGGAGACGTGAAGTCATGTGACCGTGCTGTGGTTCCTTTATAGCCCAACATTAGCCTCCTTTAGCTTAGCGGTGGAGACGTGAAGTCATGTGACCGTGCTGTAGTTCCTTTATAGCCCAACATTAGCCACCTTTAGCTTAGCGGTGGTGACGTGAAGTCATGTGACCGTGCTGTAGTTCCTTTATAGCCCAACATTAGCCACCTTTAGCTTAGCGGTGGTGACGTGAAGTCATGTGACCGTGCTGTAGTTCCTTTATAGCCCAACATTAGCCTCCTTTAGCTTAGCGGTGGAGACGTGAAGTCATGTGACCGTGCTGTGGTTCCTTTATAGCCCAACATTAGCCTCCTTTAGCTTAGCGGTGGTGACGTGAAGTCATGTGACCGTGCTGTAGTTCCTTTATAGCCCAACATTAGCCACCTTTAGCTTAGCGGTGGTGACGTGAAGTCATGTGACCGTGCTGTAGTTCCTTTATAGCCCAACATTAGCCACCTTTAGCTTAGCGGTGGTGACGTGAAGTCATGTGACCGTGCTGTGGTTCCTTTATAGCCCAACATTAGCCTCCTTTAGCTTAGCGGTGGAGACGTGAAGTCATGTGACCGTGCTGTAGTTCCTTTATAGCCCAACATTAGCCACCTTTAGCTTAGCGGTGGTGACGTGAAGTCATGTGACCGTGCTGTAGTTCCTTATAGCCCAACATTAGCCACCTTTAGCTTAGCGGTGGTGACGTGAAGTCATGTGACCGTGCTGTAGTTCCTTTATAGCCCAACATTAGCCACCTTTAGCTTAGCGGTGGTGACGTGAAGTCATGTGACCGTGCTGTAGTTCCTTTATAGCCCAACATTAGCTTTTTACTTCAGAAATCATAAAGTGGTTCATGATTGCTCTCCTGCTCTGTGGTTTTTAGTGCTGACTTTAAATCGTTCCTTCTTGGCGCCAAAAACAAAAACATTTAACCACAGTTCTCTGAGATAATTCTGTCCCTCTGCAGTTTTTGCGAAATGCCAGATGAAGAACCCTCTTTGTTTTGTGTCTGCAGAACCAAAGAGAAGACGACCAAAGACGACATCGTGGTGGAGATGAAGAGCACGACGAAGACAGAGGACACCGTCCTGCTGAAGGCCGTCAACGGAGACAAACCCAACGACCAGGTGAACGAAATAATATTATGTTAGAAAGATCTCACTGGTCCCCGGCTTGAGCTTCAGCCTCAGGATCCATGTATTTGTGATCCTCTCCAGAATGGAAGGAGTCATCACATACAGAGCATCAACTAGTTCCTGAACAGTGTCCTTCACATGCTGATATCAAGAGAGGGAGTTACACAGTCACAAGATGGAGGAATAGAAAGCAGTATTCAATGTTTACTTCAGATTAGCTCCACGTCAGAAATGAGCATGCTTGATGTCTCTCTCCATAGAGGCTGAATCATCATGTTAATCACATAGCTATCATCTGCCTCAAACAGTCCTGAGGCTCTTCTAGGTAATCACACATCTTGTCATGTTCACAGCTACAGTTGGGATACCTTTGTTATCATATTGGAAGAGGACATTCAGTATTTTCCCAACAGTTTATTTATACTCTGTATTAACATCGGAATCTGCAGACTAGTAACCCCAACAATATTTCTCCACTGCATTTCAGAGGGTTAGGTTAGACGGTCTGACTTTAGGAGTATAAAGTAGATACAATATTCAAATCAGTTAACCTGCAAGTATTTCAAATAGTAATGCACAAAGAGTTCTTTGACCTTTGGTATTTTAACTATATTTTGATGCGTATACTTCCAACTTGTTGTTGAATGCATGACTTTCAATCGTGGTGTATTTCTACTTCAGTAAATATCTGAGTTCTTCTTCCTCCTCTCCTCGTGGAGCTTAAATATAAATTCCTCCTGAGGGAGAGACGTGATAATTCACCAGAGGAGGTTCAGAGCTGGATATTGAATACATCAGCAGCGGCTTTAACATTAAATATTAAATGTTTATAAACAAATAAACGCTGGCATGCAGAAAACACATTCTGATGAAAGCAGACGGATTTAAAGAGACAGTAACATGTTTTTATCTTCAGTGCAGTTATACCTTTAAGTGCTGTTTCAGCATCATTTTACTTTACTGGAGTATTTCCATTGAATTGTTCATTTAACACATAATTACTTTCCACATATAAAACACACACATATCAGATATGAGGCAGCACTGTACTGCTAATGTACAATACTAGTTGAAATGGTCTCAACTACAACATCCACATGATATTGCATTTTCAGACTGGACATTACATAATAAGTCAAATGACTCATCCTGCATACTGAGTACTTTCATTGTACTTTTACCTTTTAATTGAAGTACATTTAACTGATAATACTTCTTCTTCTTCTGTCTCCGCAGTAAAGTCCTGATGGTGCAGCAGAGACGTGCAGCAGGGGGAGTGTGTGTGTGTGTGTGTGTGTGTGTGTGTGTGTGTGTCCATGTGAGTGTGTGTGTGTGTGTGTGTGTGTGTGTGTGTGTGTGCGTGTCCATGTGAGTGTGTGAGGATGTGTGTGTGTGTGTGTGTGTGTCCATGTGTGTGAGTGTGTGAGGATGTGTCCGTGTGAATGTGTGAGAGAGACGCTCCCCCTGATCTGAGACCTGCAGGGTAAAAGACCACTCCTCCATCATTCTTTTGTTTTAGCATTCGTGTTTGATACATTTACACACACACACACACGCACGCACACACACACACACACACGCACACACACACGCACACACACACACACACGCACACGTACAGATGTGTATTTTCTTTCTTTGAGTTCCTCATTAGTGTTCTGGAGTTTCCTCAGTGCGTGACGACGGTTTCTCTCGTCCATCGTCGACTTTGTTTTTGTTTTTGTTTTTCTATGAAAGTGTACATATTATATATATTTTGTTATTTAAGATATTTTGACACTCGGGTTTTCATTTCACGCTCGTGTGCATGTTGATGCGTGTCCACGGGGTCGACAGGAAAACACTGATTGACTTTTACAAGAAGAAAAAACACAAAAGTTGAGGCGTTTATCTCAGAATTTCCGTCTTATTTTGGCGGGAAAAGAGATTTAAAGGCAGGATTTTCACAATAAACTGCTGTTGCGCCGCCGCTGTAAATACATGCGAGTGTACAGACTGAGGGTCAGAGGTCAGATCTGCATCATACACTGAATTATTACTTTGAGTTGTGTGTGTGTTTTCTTTGTGTTTCCACTGTTGGGCCTGACGAAGTGTGTCAGTGTGTGTGCACGTTTTAAAAAATGATGACTCTGCAAAATCAGGCAGTTTTGAATTCACCAAATATTGTGCTTTAATGCAATTTGAAGATTGCACTGCTCTGTGTTACAATATTACATTTAGATTAATTGTGCAGCGCTATTCTGCATTGCATGTCATGAACCTTTGATCACATCTAAAGTAGTCATGGGTTTATTTTAAGGGATTTAGGGTTTTTTTATCAATATTATTTCCATTTAATTTGTATCTGCAGCTCTTACATTTGGCAGTTTTGAACATGGCATTAAGGTGTATATTTGAGGGTAAATATAAAACTCTAGATGTTATAAAAAGTGGGGGGAAAAGCTCATTTAACTCTTGGAACAAAATATCTCCGAAAAATGGGTTAAAAATTGTGCAAGAAATTCATTTTTTTTTTATTCCAGATGTAAAACAGACTTTTAAAATACCTTGAATGTTTATAAAGATTATCAGGAATTTATTCTTATTCCAAATTATTTTCTGAATGTCCAAACTGAATTTCAAAGCCTGATTTACAGCAGATCATCAGAGACGTGCAGAAACGCTGACTCTTCTCGTACTAAAAGGCCGTGTTGTGAATATTTCAGATCTCTCTGAGCTTGTGTGACTTTTTGCCCAGAAGACTTGCAGCTTTAACAAAGTAGTGTTCTGTTTGGAGGTGTAAATAAACAATAACAACAACAACAACCAGGTTCAGGACGTGTTGATGTGCACAAAGCCATAACACCGAGTTCATGAAGACGTTTAAATCCTCGTTCTGGATTTCTCTCCACAGGCTTGAAAGTGTGTTTTCTAAATGTGTGTAAATTAAGTTCATGTGATTCTTTGATGCTTGCGTTTTTTTAATATTTTTTGCAATAAAATAATGCCAAATAAAAATGTTTCCTTTGAAGAGACTGTGTTTTATTTCTATTTCTTTCTGAGACCTTTCCTTTTATTTGTATGTCAAATAAAGTGGAGATTAACTAAGTACATTTACTTTAGTTAAAGGTCACCTATCGTACTGTTTCTCATCAGTATATCACAGGTCTCAGATATACACAGAGCCTGTCTCTGATTGGCTGAAACACCAAACAGATCATTGCATCATTACCCATAATCCCCTCTGTTTCAGCCCTGTTTCCAAAGTGCTGATTCTCTGTCTGTTACTTTAGATGAAAATAAGGAGCCCCTCCCCACGCCCCTCTGAGAGACATTTGGTTACAAAGAACTCAATGGTGCTCTAGAGGAGATTCAGGTGATAAGGGGGGGGGGGGGTTACCTTGGTTGCTGATTGGCTAATGGTTACACAAGACAACACATCGTTATGACATCATAAAGTGGCCAAAATCTGATCAGCTCATTTTCAGACAGGTTTTTATAGAAATGGATCAAAAAGAGAGAGAATCTTTGTTCCTGAAACTTTCAGAGTCTCTTTCCACAGAGGGGACACATGTTGATGTAGAAGAGACATGAAGAAGAGGGGACACATGTTGATGTAGAAGAGACATGAAGAAGAGGGGACACATGTTGATGTAGAAGAGACATGAAGAAGAGGGGACACGTGTTGATGTAGAAGAGACATGAAGAAGAGACGACACATGTTGATGTAGAAGAGACATGAAGAAGAGGGGACACATGTTGATGTAGAAGAGACATGAAGAAGAGGGGACACATGTTGATGAGAAGAGACATGAAGAAGAGGGACACATGTTGATGTAGAAGAGACATGAAGAAGAGGGGACACATGTTGATGTAGAAGAGACATGAAGAAGAGGGGACACATGTTGATGTAAGAAGAGACATGAAGAAGATGGGACACATGTTGATGAAGAAGAGACATGAAGAAGAGGGGACACATGTTGATGTAGAAGAGACATGAAGAAGAGGGGTACACATGTTGATGTAGAAGAGACATGAAGAAGAGGGGAACACATGTTGATGAGAAGAGACATGAAGAAGAGGGGACACATGTTGATGTAGAAGAGACATGAAGAAGAGGGGACACATGTTGATGTAGAAGAGACATGAAGAAGAGGGGACACATGTTGATGTAGAAGAGACATGAAGAAGAGGGGACACATGTTGATGTAGAAGAGACATGAAGAAGAGGGGACACATGTTGATGTAGAAGAGACATGAAGAAGAGGGGACACATGTTGATGTAGAAGAGACATGAAGAAGAGGGGACACATGTTGATGTAGAAGAGACATGAAGAAGAGGGGACACATGTTGATGTAGAAGAGACATGAAGAAGAGGGGACACATGTTGATGTAGAAGAGACATGAAGAAGAGGGGACACATGTTGATGTAGAAGAGACATGAAGAAGAGGGGACACATGTTGATGTAGAAGAGACATGAAGAAGAGGGGACACATGTTGATGTAGAAGAGACATGAAGAAGAGGGGACACATGTTGATGTAGAAGAGACATGAAGAAGAGGGGACACATGTTGATGTAGAAGAGACATGAAGAAGAGGGGACACATGTTGATGTAGAAGAGACATGAAGAAGAGGGGACACATGTTGATGTAGAAGAGACATGAAGAAGAGGGGACACATGTTGATGTAGAAGAGACATGAAGAAGAGGGGACACATGTTGATGTAGAAGAGACATGAAGAAGAGGGGACACATGTTGATGTAGAAGAGACATGAAGAAGAGGGGACACATGTTGATGTAGAAGAGACATGAAGAGAGGGGACACCATTGAGAAGAGACATGAAGAAGGGGGACACATGTTGATGTAGAAGAGACATGAAGAAGAGGGGACACATGTTGATGTAGAAGAGACATGAAGAAGAGGGGGGACACATGTTGATTGTAGAAGAGACATGAAGAAGAGGGGACACATGTTGATGTAGAAGAGACATGAAGAAGAGGGACACATGTTGATGTAGAAGAGACATGAAGAAGAGGGACACATGTTGATGTAGAAGAGACATGAAGAAGAGGGGACACATGTTGATGTAGAAGAGACATGAAGAAGAGGGGGACACATGTTGATGTAGAAGAGACATGAAGAAGAGGGGACACATGTTGATGTAGAAGAGACATGAAGAAGAGGGGACACATGTTGATGTAGAAGAGACATGAAGAAGAGGGGGACACATGTTGATGTAGAAGAGACATGAAGAAGAGGGGACACATGTTGATGTAGAAGAGACATGAAGAAGAGGGGACACATGTTGATGTAGAAGAGACATGAAGAAGAGGGGACACATGTTGATGTAGAAGAGACATGGAGAAGAGGGGACACATGTTGATGTAGAAGAGACACGAAGAAGAGGGGACACATGTTGATGTAAAGAGACATGAAGAAGAGGGGACACATGTTGATGTAAAGAGACATGAAGAAGTGGATTTTGCATAATAGGTGACCTGTAAGTACAATCCAAGTTCTACTCAAAGTTCTAGTAAAATTAAAAATACTTAAAATATCTATATATAAAATGTTAGTTATAATTAAATGATATTTGTTTCCAATACATCATTTAAAATGTATGTTTTACTCAAATAGGTTCATGGCAGGACTTTTACTTCTTATAGAGTATTTTTACTTAAGGATCTGAATACTTCTTTCACGCATACCTTGTAATATATATCATTAACATTTTAGTAGTAGTGTTAAAGGTCACCTATCATGCTATCTTTAGGCAATAGCACAGGTCTCAGATATATACAAATATATAAAAAATATGTCTATGAAGTGTTTTGCTCCAAACACCAAACAGATCATTCTAGCCATGCCTCATATCCCTCTATTTCACTTCCTGTTTCTAAAGAGCTGATTTGGGGATAAAGCTTTAAAGAGGAGGGGTCTGAGCTCATGCGGGACCCGGCAGCTACCGTCTAAACTAAATGCTGCCGTGATGAAACGCCATATCATGGATTATCAAGGATTCTCTCTGAAACAGTCTGGAGCTCAAAGGCTTTCTCTCTTGCCGGTTATACCACAAGGTGAGTTCCTTTTTACTTCCTGCTTCTTCACACACATGCTCTCCAGTACAGGTTAGCTCTGAGTGTTAGCATGCTAATGTAAACACCGACCATATTACGTCCAAAACAGTCGGGCATTGTTTCTGATAGCAACGTTTCTGATTGGGCCGTGGGTCCACATTTCAGATATTACGTCATATCGGACGCAAATCTGGATCAGCTCCGTTGTTCCCCGTTTTTAGAGATTTGGGTACGGAGGAAAAGAGAGAGGGGTTTATTTTCTGACGCTGCGTGAGTTCCCCGACACACATTTTGCATGATAGGAGACCTTTAACTTAAGGATCTGAATACTTCTTCCACGCATACCTTGTAATATAAATCAATAACATTTTAGTAGTAGTATTAAAGTATTTCTGCACCGTAGTATTACTACCTCTAAGACAGTAAAGTAGTACCTCTTCCCCCTGTAGTGATGACGGAAAAAACCACACGGCTCAGATGTTAAAGAAAATATTGTTTAATTAAAAATCTTAATGGCTTAGGCATGAAAACATGGCAACACAACGAATGCTGAGGATATTAAAAAGACAATAAATAAAATCATATTTACAACAACAAAGCATGAGGACGACTTTTAGTAGGCAAGTTGAGAAGGCGAGTGACCGTTATTAATATATCACAAATACATCATTAAAGACCAGCTGAGACATCAGTGAGGGAGTGTGTGTGTGTGTGTGTGTGTGTGTGTGTGTGTGTGTGTGTGTGTGTGTGTGTGTGTGTGTGTTGGGGGCATGCAGTACTTATTGTATTTTCAATAGCAAGGAGACAGCCCTGAATGGATTCAGATTTTAATTTTCAATGTATTTATCAAATTAAAATCTGCAGTCTTAAAGAGATCTAAACTGAGGGCGGGAGATACGGCAATATTTGTCAATTATACCAATATTTTGTATTGTTAAAAGATGATAATATACTATCATATGAATAATATTAAGACATATGTTTTGATTTATAAAAGGTAAACGCATTATTATTATTACAGCCAATTTCTATTTAATATTCCTTGTTACTGACAATAACAAGTGATGTAAACAATGCAAATATTACAGCACTTAATTTAGTATTTTAATTTATTCATAACATCCTATAAATGCAAAGATTAGTTTTCTAAATATTTAATTATTTGCCACATTATCTTCATATCCCCCCACCCTTAGGAGGTATCGTCGTTTAATACTGCAGTACGGTTGCATATAGCATTCACTGTATAAACATATGACAGTGTTTATGAGAATTAGTACCTCATAATTAGAAGATAGTTCAATCATAAAAGCATTTTTTTATTTGACTTTAAAAAGCATTTGTAATCGCGCATTAGTTGTCCACTAGGGGGCGCTAACATGCATTTTTTTCTTTTACGTCACAATTCCCGTAACTAATACATTTGTCTCAGTCTGTAGGGACTGGGTTTGATGCAGTTATACTTTCGCTGTGTGCTGTACTCTGTGTACAAAATAAAGAGGGTTTGATATTTATTTTGACTTTTTAAAATAAATCTAGTTTTAATGTGGCTCTTATATATATTTATATATATATTTCCTTTGATGCTTTGCCTGCAAACTCCAGCTCCTTCAAAGTGTATATCTGCAGGAATAAAGTAAAAAGTAATAAGGGAGAAACAGAAAAGTGTTCATATTTAATTTAAGCAGTAAATGTGTCGTGTTTTGGTTTGTCGACAGAAGGCACATTTACACGTTACTGCAGAAATCCAAAGTGACGATTTAAGGGGATTTGGGGGGAAAGGGAGGAAATTGCACTCAATGTTAGACGGGATACTTCCTGTTTTTAAACGCGAAATTGGAAATGAGACGCTCGTTATTGGTCCACTGAAAAAACTGAAAACCTGAGAAAAATACACAAAATATTCAGTTTGACTTCTGTGTGAAGTACATTTACTCAAGTTGAGTTTTTAAGTACACATGTGACATACTTGTACGTGTATTTTCTCTACTCCCACTTCTCTACAATTACATTAAACTGGCCAACAGTTCATAAACAATCGAGGGATGATTAAAATGGCATCTTTTAAAAATCACTGAATTTTCCATCCATTAAAAAAAAAATGTATTTAAAGTTTTTGGATGTTTTTTTAAATTTATTTTTATGATTTTTCACAATTGGGTACTTTAATACTTTACCTACATTTTGAGTATACTAACCTTTGCTTCAGTAAGATTTTCAATGCAAGACTTTTACTTATATCATATTTAATAAACTCTTGGCAGGAGAGCTATAATTAACATTAGCCAATAGCTGCTAGCCGTTAGCTGCTAGCCGTTAGCAGCGTGAACAAACTTGAATTAATTAAGTTGTTTTAAAAGGAGATGTTTTCACAGTTTAATAAATAGCTATCACAGGGAACCTGTGTTACTTTAATAAAGGAGTGTATAATGAAGAACATGACATTTAAAGCTTATGTCTTTTTAGCATTGTATTGTTAGCCGTTAGCTGTTGTTAGCCGTTAGCTGTTGTCAGCCAGAAGCTAAATGATGGAGCTAACAAACTTGAATTAATAAAGTAGTTTTGAAGGAGATTTTTTCACAGAAATATTTAATAGGTATCAGAGAAGGGGACCTGTTTAACTTCCTAACAATGAGTGTAGAATGAAGTACATTACATTTAATGTTTTGTTTTTTAGCTTAGCTGCTAGCTGTTGGCTGCTAACAGCTTGAACACAAGTTGTTTTTAAGATGTATTCACAGTCATATAAAATGGATATTGGAGAAGGAACCTGTTTACATTCCTAACAAAAAAGTATGTAAACTGTAAGAAAGGAGTGTATAATGCAGTTTTATTGGATATATTTTATATTTTTGTGTTTTTAGCCATTAACTCCCAATGGCTAAATAACAAAGCTAACAAACTGTTTTACCGTGGCGTCGAGAGGATTGTGGAAGTTCCTTTGTATCAGCGAGTAACAAGAAGCGGGCAAATCTAATCTTAGGAATGTTTTTGTCATTAGCTCGTACATTATATCATGTGTCCTTTAGCACATGTTCCTCTCTTTACATTCAAACCTAGCTGTGAAGCAGTACCTGAGTCCACATGAAGACCTTCTGCTTTTATACTTTAAAGTAAATCCCTTCAACCTGATTCCTCAGCTGGGTACAAATGTGACGCGGAGCTAAAAAATCACATGAAGACGTGAGAGCAGATCCAGCAGCACATGTCAAAGTCCTTTTTCTGCTTATTAGTAGAAACCAGAAGCTTGGTTAAATGAGGAAATGAACTTCCAGCCATTGTTAGTACTACACACAGCACAACAAGATACTTAAACATCTGTTATTTCATTAGAGATCCATCATCGAGAGGAAATATGGAGACATGAAGCCCTGCGATTCTGCACATTCATCAGCATACAAACACCACTTGTTTTCTCGCCGTCGCTACATTATTCGTACGCCACAAATTTAGCTAAGAAGCGTGTTTTTTTTTTTTAAAGCACCAAACTGAACGGCAGTGGAATTCAGAGACGAATTTCCCTCGAGAGGAAACACGAACGGGGTCAAACATCGGCTTAACGGCGCCTACACACAGCGGCGTGCGTTGCCGCTTCAACGCTTCTGCCCATTCACTTTGAATGGGGTGACGTCACGATTAGCCGAACTGCATTGTGGGAGCAAAGCGTAGCTTCTCTCGCGGTGCTCGCTGCAAAAGTAGAGCAGTTCTACTTTTGACGCCTCGACGGACGGGTCAGCTAATCGAATCATATACCAGTACAAGCTCTAGCCAATCAAACCGCGTGCTTGTGTGTCTGGGGTGGGAGATTCATGTGATTGGTTGTTGGTCGAGTTTCAGCCCCCCCCCCCACCGGCAAGCGACAACGCACGCCGCCGTGTGTAGGGGCCCTGAGAACGGTAAAGGCTTCAGGCGTGCTGCGTTCAGGTCATATCGAGTGTACGGTGGCCTTGAAGGTCAAAACGCAACGAAAACACAGTTCAAATGTTGGTTGTGTTTTTTTAAATGTTTTAGCTATTTGTCAAATGGTTTTGTTAATTGTTGTCAGGGTTTTCTTTAACTGTAAAGGCTTCACATGTGCTGCGTTCAGGTCATATCCGACTGTACGGTGGCCCTGAAGGTCAAAACAAGACATTTTCCCAAAAACCTGACATTATTTGTGTGTTTGGGGAAATGCTTTTGTAAACTGTTGTGAGGTTTACTTAAGTCTTTTTCCTTTATGTTACATTTTGCTGTGTTTTGACCTTCCGGGCCACCATAGGCTTCTCTGTCAAAGTTTTTTGCCAACCTACAAACGGTAGCTTAAAAACAAAACCCCTCAATTTCCAAGTTGCGACAACGAGATAACGATGAAGCTTCAAGGCCGAACACTTGGCATTGGTTCAACAAACTAATATATGTTCACAATAAAACTCAGATGATATCTCTCCTGAACGCAGCATTTCTGTTTGGCCTTGAGTGGCCCTGCAGGAAAAGTGCTCGGTAAATGCTTTTTCCGTGATAATGGCACAGAGTGGAGAGACACAGCAGGTGAGGAAGAGGAAGAGGACTGTGACTATGTGGCGATGTGAGCAGACGATGGGATGGAAACAAACTCCCGCAGGATGTTTTTGGCCGTCTCCAGGTTGTTTTGCGCGATCATCAGCGCTTTATGGATGTCCTGTAAGGAGTATCCCTGCGACACGAGGCACTCGATCTCTCCGTTCAGGGACTGGTTCCCCGGGTGAGTGGTGGGAGGAGGGAGAGGGAGAGGGAGAGGAAGAGGGAGAGCAATAGGAGGAGGGGGAGTAGGGGAGGAAGAGGTGGAGGAAGAGGTTGAAGGGAGTTCTGGTAACGGAGCGGGTAATTCACGGTTTGCGGGACGAGGTCTTCGGTCGGAGTTTGCTCGTCGAGGGAGAGGTTTGGGGGGGCGTTCAGGCTCCACTGCTGCTGAAAACATACCTGGAAAACAAAGATACAAGTCAGAAAATATTGCGTTGCGTTCAAGTACCTGATAGTATGCTGTAAGGGTTGTAAATCCCCTGGAGACAGATGTGTACTTTGTGGTGTTTATTGATTTACTGAGGTAGTAAATCAAGTGAGAAGTCGGGGAATTTTCTCTTAGACTTCTACACAATCAAACTGTTTAGAGAATGCATGTTTAGTTTATAGTAGAAGTAGAGTCAAAAGTACAATACGTCTCTTTGAGATGGAGTACACTAGAATTATAAAGTAGCACGACAGGTCACTCAAGTTTTAATGCAGCAGCTCAGAGTTGAACGTGGCGTCGCTTTAGAAACTGGATGGAAAGCCTGTTTTGGCCGTGTCTGTCATATCATAACAAAGACACAAAAGCCAGTTTGTTGGAGCGGATCGGCCGGTCGGACACCGGGTGTTTCTGCCGGTGAGTGAGAGACTGTTATCCTCCAACTACGGCTGTCAGACTGAGCGGAGATAAGCTGAATAAGTGCAGGGAGCACAAGCTTTTATTGATTTACTGAGGTAATAAATCAAGGGAGAAGTCGGGGAATTTCCTCCTAGACTTGGAGCAGATCCTTTGTTATTTATCCAAAGCGACTCACACACTCAACACTGTGGGCAATCCCCACAGGAGCACTTTGGGGTGAAGAGTCTCAGGGACACAACGACATGCTGACTGAGGTGGGGTTTGAACCTGTGACCCCCTGATCCGAACACCAACGCACTAATCCACACCCATCATGTGTACTCTGATATTGGAAGAGTACATTCACTATTTCCCAGCAGTTACGTACTGGCTTCGACGGCGCTGTCGATGCTGAGCGTGCTGAAGGACGCTGATGGTCCCCCGATGTCTGACAGCGTCCTGCGGGTGGGGGCGGGGGGGATGATGGGTCTCGGACAGTCGTACTCGTAGATCTCCTCCTCAGCCGAGTCCTCCGCCTTCTCCTGAGGAACCACCGCTGGAAGGGGAGGGGGCTCTGGAGAAGAAAAACACTTCAATCAATACACATGTATACATTAAGTCAATATACACGTTCACATCTGGTACAGGGTGGGGTTGGGTGAATGTGTCGGCCATCAGTAACTTGTACAAAGCAGGTTGTTATATTTGTCACATCTCTTGTAACTTGTACATTATGTGTGAATTATGTTGTTTGTTGTTTTAATTCAACTTTTTACAGTGTATTTGAACACCTGAAAAAGCGCTTAGAAATGGTATGTTCTTATCATGTCATATTATTGTACGGTGTTGTTGTTTTTAAGAGATTTTTGTCAATTTTTGCTTATTTGAAAAGTTCTGTATATGCCGAGACTGCACCTGTAATTACTGTCATACACAACTTCACATTCCCTCTTGTTTTCTCAACATTATGCCAAAAGAACAAAGTTAAAGTGACACCTGCTTGAGTCAATACACAATTTAAAGTCAATATAATACACAACTTGTACAGTGTTGTTGTTTTTAAGAGATTTTTGTTATTTTATTTAGCTCATTTGAAATGTTCTGTAGATGCTGATACCGCACCTGTAACACTTTATCCCAAAAGAACAAAGTTAAAGTGACACCTGCTCGATGTGAGCATGTGTGATCAGGACATTTGAATAATTCCCCTAAATAATAAAAGTATAGTTAGGATAATTACCGGGGTCCGAGGCCTCAGAGGAAAGCAGCCTGGATGTTGAACATGGACTCGTAGACTTGAGGATCCTCAGAGTCGCTGTCGACCAACTCACTGAAACACAGGAAACATCATTTAGACTTCTCTCAGAGTCAATGTAAAACCCAGCTTCTTGTTTTCCTTGTATGTAAAGGTTTCAGGTTCCTACTTACTGTATATTGTGTATGTCTTTGCTTTATTGTAACTCAAAGAAAAATTATAAATAAAGTATTAAAAAAAATAAAAAAGAGACGTAATAATTGATATTCTAATAATCTAGTCTTTAAAAAGGTATAAATATATTTTATATTTTGTTACTGTAA